GTCTTAATAAACATTCAAAGCTTTAAAAATAATGTAATTATATGTGACTTAGAAATAGTTTTGTGTTTTTGTTCAATAGTAATACATGTTATTAAAGAAAGTTAAGAAACTGTAGATAAGACAAAAAGACTTCAAAATGTCTGGGTACTTTAAAAGATGTTTTGTTTATCAATTTGAGAGAGAGGGAGAGAGAGTATGGAGGGGGGAGAGTGAGAAAAAGATCGATTTGTTGTTCCACAACAAATGGCGATGGAATCTGCAACTTTCGTGTGTCAGGACGACACTAACCAACTGAGCTACCCGGCCAGGGCAATGTGTGGGTCTTTAGACTTTCACCTCTACCACGTATTCTGTCTCTGAGCTTTCCCTGCGCTTAATGACAGTCATGCGCCACGTAGACAACCTTTCAGTCAATGGTGGACTGACTGCCTGTGCAACGGTGGTCCCATAAGGTCATAATTGAGCCAAAAAATTTCTATCGACATTGTATTTATCATGATTTTGTAGCACAACACTTTGCCCACATGTCTGTGGTGATGCTGGTGTAAGGAACCTACACCCCCAGTAAAATAAAAGTATAGCAATATAATTATATGTAGTGCACAATACTTGATAATGATTATAAGTGACCGTTACTGGTTTATGTATTTACTGTGCATACTACACCATAGTTTTTATTGTTATTTTAGAGTGTATGCTTTCTACCTATAAAAAGGTATGCTGTTAAACAGTGTGTTGTGTTACCCTGCCAGCAGCTACACATCATTTTCTCTTGTGCTTTATTTGGCCTCCTGTTGTTTTATAACTTCAGTGTAGGCTGAGTGGACAGTGTTCATAAGGTTGCAGTAGTGCACAGTAATGTCCGAGGTTGTCACATTCCCTCCCCACTCACTCACTGACTCACCTAGAGCAACTTCCTGTCCTGCAAGTTCTATTCATGGTAAGTGCCCTGTACAGTGTACCATTTTTATACTTTTTATACTGTATTTTTTATTTTTACTGTACTTTTTCTGTGTTTAGATACACAAATACCACTGTGTTATAATCATAGAATAGTAACATGCTATCAGGTTTGGAATGTAGGAGCAACAGGCTTTGTCATATTGCCTAGGTGTGTGGCAGGCTGTACCACCGAGGTGTGTGTAACTGCACTCTCTGATGTTCACAGGACAGCAAGATTACCTAGTGACACATTTCTCAAAAGGTATCCCTGTCATGAAGCAGAGCGTGACTGTACTTCCTTGCCATCCATACTTTTCCTGCCAGCTTTCATTATAGTGGTTGGCTTTTCCTGGCCATCTCAGGAAAACAACCAGGTGTAAAAATACCTTTTTATAAGAACAGTTTAGTGAGAGCTTTGGCTTTTTCTCCCTGGACCATGAGAGGCATACATGAAGGCGAGCAACAGCATCATTATCTAAAAAGAAATGCAATAAATATCTTGCAGATTAGTTTTTGAAATGCCGTCAGTTTGGGATTTTGTTATAAAAATTTACTTTAAAACATTTTGGATTTAAAGTGAAAACTTGGAATCTTAAATAAACACTATTGTGGCATTGGTATTTATATAGCTGGACTATTTCTTTGTCTTAAAAAAACTCTTGTTATCCTATTTCACATTAACTTTCTAACAGCTAAAATTGTTCACAACACAGTTTAAAGATAAATGCAGGATCAGGCTTTGAATTCCTTTTTTTGGGTAAATATTAAGACCTGAGTACAAAATGAGGGCTGTATTGTGGATTAAGTGAAATATCTCAAGGCTGTGCTGTTCTGATAACTGAACCTGAAGTGACCTTTCTCAGACACAATTACAGAGCTGTATGTTTTTCCTTTAATTTCATCAGGGGTTTAATTAGTATACAAATAAAACTTCCCTTATCTTCCTTTCTACCTAATTGGCTTGTCTTCGCGTGTATGTGAAGTATGTGAAAGTGGGCTGTAATTAGGGTGACCGAGTTAACCTCTTTTCCTCAAATGTGCTGTTGCCTAAAGGCCTAAGGCCTGGAAACTGCGCTTTGGATTATTGCTTTGCAATCACTATGGCCGTCCCTCAGGTTTTCTCATGAGCAGAAGGGCTTTGGGTGCTGCAGGTTCCCACTGCTTAACAGGATCCTCATTCTTCTCCCCACTAAATGTTTATTGATTATCTCGCCGTTCCAGGCTCAGCCTCCAACAACTTAATATCAGGTGACAGTCAGGAGAGTTCTCCAAGTAATTAGAGTTGAGCATTGGGGGAACAATTAGGAGCAGAGTTATTAAACTTGATTTATCCTATTCTCTCCTGAACAGTTTCTTGGATATCAGAACATCACACTTTCACAATCTACCCTGGTTGAGAAATTAGTGGCTAACCTGCTGCTTATCATTGTTGCCTTGCTGCCTGGAGGCACACCCTCTTGGTTTCAGTCATTCGGTTGGAGATATTAGAGTCCATAAAGTTTATCATAGGTTTTAATTAGGTAAATCCGAACAGGAGGAAAGCTGAATTAAAAACTATATGTGTATAAAACAGGCATTATATATGATTCAGGTACATACATGTGATACATATATGCACACAAATGTAAATACATGTTTCTTTCTTGAATGCTCAGTGTTAGGATTTTAAAAGAACTACTTTGTCTCAAAAACAAGAAAGGTGAGTATTAAAGAAAATACATTATTGAATCTTTTTTTTTGTCTTCGTGTTTTATGTATATCAGGTACATATGTGTGATACATATATCTCTATGGACCCATTGATGTGAATAGCTTCCATTGTGATGCCCCAAAACCTGTTTGATAAGCTTATATTTTTGAAATTTCATAGGCAAAGGAGTGAGCAGATTTTTAGTGCTAAGAGATACTCTGATACTATTTTACATTCTAGAATTTAAAATGAGAATTCTGTGTGTATTTGATATAAAATATAATGATTAAACACAACCTTTGTCTCTTCATTTTCACACTAATGGTCTCTGTTACTTTGTTTATACCACTTTCTGTTTATTTTCTGTAATTTCAGCCTTGGAATAGGCTCTTCAGCTATGCCTCTGTAGGTGAGCTTTAGGAGAGATTGGCAGCTCCCTGCCATTGCCCCTAAAGAAGAAAATGAAAGGAGATTGAGACATGTAGTAGAAAATTTTAATTTTATGAGTTATATCTTCTTTGAAAGGGTATCTTAGGATTATTGAAAAGTCAAGTGTGGTTTTATAATGACTCCAAAGTCCTGGGTTCACTCAGATTGGACCAGTGAGCTTCTGTTATGTACAAGGATAATATCCTGAATACCCTTCACAAATATACACCTCTAGTCATGAATGACTGAGAAAAAGAATTTGAAAGGATTGGCACAAATCTTTATTTCTGTGGGAAAAAGAATCCAAGCTTTTTGTCTAACTGACTGGTGGTGGATCATTAGTTTTATCTTCATACCTGAAAAATGCCATTTTTAAAATCTGAAATATGTCAGAAATACTGGCTTTAAGATGACTCAAATATGGGTTTTATTATTATCTTTTTAATGAAGAAATTACATGATGCTTCAGTGCCTTTAAATATCTTAACTTTGGCATAAAATAAGTAGGTTTACTATGGCTTTTAAAATTTGTTTCTTGTTATCATTTTGAAGTTGGTTTGAATCTATTTCTATAGTAGGATGGTGTTTCTGTTACACTAAAGATTTATAGTAAATTATAATATTTAGTAAGTAATCACAGTTTATTTATTTTTAATTTTTTGACATATTTGTCTGATATCAACTTGACTATTTGAAATGTGAAACACTAAATTTAAAAATTCAATATTTGAAAATACATGATTTGATGGATGATTGCTTTCATTCACTAATATTTAGAGTGAATTCATTGTGTGAGCTCCAGCTTGAATTTTTTATACTACCTATTGTGAACGCACTAAAAGAATATTATTAGGAAAGTTTCAAACATGAAATTATTGTGTCTTGGTTATTCTTTACTGGATATTTGAAGCATAGTTGTGACTGAGCAAGAAGAAAAAAATTATGTGTATGCAGTCAGTTATTCAGCTCAGTGTCCAACAAATTTAAATGAAAAACTGTTTGATAAGCTTATAGTTTTGAAATTTTATAGGCAAAGGAGTGAGCAGATTTTTAGTGCTAAAGATACTCTGATACATATACTATTCTACATTCTAGAATTTAAATGAGCTCTAGAAAGTGCTCCTTTAAATTGTGAGTTTCTCATTCTAAAACTTCTAGTCCTAAAGTCAAGATAAAGTTGTATTCTTGCATCTTGAAATTTTTATGCTAAAAGAATATTTAAGATTAAAGCAAATAGCAATAACAGATTTTATACTTCTGCGACTAGTAGAATGTTTATGGAATATAAATAATTCTAACTGCAAGTATTATGTATACCTTTCTCTGTTGAAACATGGTGATCACATTGTGTTACTATCCTGAATGTGAGAGTTATTTACAGGAAGTAAGTGAATTGTATTTTGGAGTTCAGTTTGTCCATTGACATGTCTATAGCAACTGTTGTAGATAGGTTTGGAAAGACAGTAGTGGTATTTTTAAATACTGGGTTCCCTTTTCTAGGTATCATAATCTCCTTTCCTCTCCATCATATGCATACTTTGGGCATATGATAGTTCTGGTTTTAAATAGACTCTAAATTTCATGTGCTTCCTCCCCATTTTTATTTTTCATCATTAAAAGAAAATGCAACTGGAGGTTTTTATAATCAAATTTTTTTTTTTTTTTTTAGTAAGAGTAAAATGTATTTGCTTTGCAGTATTTTAAAAAATCAAATAGAGTTGTGTTTTATAGCTGAACATTTTTCAAAATCTTATTGGTTCTATCATTTCTAATTAGTAAGTATGTAAAATTTTTGCAGAAAATTTGTTAAGCCTTGATGTGTAATGACCCAAGTCTACTTCTCAGTCAGTCTGTATTCTTCTTTGTTTAATAGCCTATGGCATAAATTGAAGTTAATTATCAGGGCTGACAAGTAACTCTGTTTTCTGTCTGCTTGCAGAGTCTCTCCGAGGCAAAGATGGAGCTGAGAAGAAAAGATCAATCTCTGCGTCAGCTCAATAGACATCTTACCCAGCTGGAGCAGGACAAGCGTCGACTGGAGGAGAACATCCACGATGCCGAGAGTGCCCTCCGCATGGCAGCCAAGTGAGCATTTGGACCTTGGGGAGATCACTTAAAACAGACAAAAGATCAATTCTTACTTTCATGCTCCGGGTTTTAGCCCTGGATAATACAGTGTTAGAAAACAAAAGTACAGCTGTCTCTCTTTGAAATTCTCTGATATATCCCCAGAAAAGAAAACTCTTCACACTCAACATTCTAAATGTATACTTTATTGAGAAACTTCAGAAAAGTATAAGTGTCTATATAACATCTAATGAGGCGAATTTGGGGCTCTGTTGTAGGTGTTACATGTTTGAAACCATGCTTTTATTAATATGAAATATAAATCTCTTTATTTAAAAGTTTTGCATATTTTTTTTTCTATTACATATTCCTAACCCCTTCTGCCCCACTTATTCCCAAATTGCTCTGCATATATTATAATGTCCTAATATTGTAAATAGTATTTCCATAAGAATGTTAGTATACAATCAACATGTATATCATAGCATCTTTCCAAGTGCACTAAAACATATTGATCATTGAAAAGTCATTTAATTTTATAGCTGTCTATTCTGATATGCTAAATAGAAAAAATATACAGTTTTCAGAGAGATCAACTATGTAAATGTGATGGGAGTGTTTTTCTTTTACCAGGTAATCAAGTTGACATACACCATGAAATTCACATTGAACAGTTCTCTTGGGAATTTTTATTTGTTCCCCACATTAAATTACATGGAGTACTTTACGACAGTCCTTTGTACAACAGCATGGCTTAAAGAAAATCTATTTATGGATTAAAAAAAAACATCTAATTTTAATAAAATAAGTGTTTTCTAAATTTGGAATTCTGGATTCCTATACTTACAAAAATGTATATATTAATTAACATTTTTTTAAAGACAAACTCTCTTGTTAAATGCTTATCATGAAATGTGAATATAGTCTGTAGACTAAAGCATAGGATGGAGAATCTGTAATCTTAGGATATCCATAGCTTTGCCAGTGAGTTTGAGAAATTGCTCATACATAATGAAAATATCAGTTTGCCAAGGCCAAAATGTGGCATGCTTGAAAAATATAAAGCTGTATAACATTGCATCACTGTGTTAGGTGTATACAATTGTCATTGAAAAAATGTAAATTTGACTAAATTGGGTTTTTGTTTTCATTGTTTAGTTTTAAGTTTCCTCAGGCCAAATGAGACAGTGAATCTAGTGTGCCTTATAGGTCTGAAAATTCTGAGGTTAAGGAAAACAAGGTTATAAAACCTTCAGATTCCTATTATATCAAAACATTGCTGCTAATTCAAGAATTTGGCTTGTCTGTGAAATTTGAAGAGCTAATACATTGATTGCTTCTGGTTTTCAGTCTGTAATTTAACATTACATTTATGTCTTCAGCATTTTCACCCAAACTTCTTATTTAATTATTAAGCCAAATTCAATATGCAATGCCAGTAGAAGAAATTAGTAACTTTGCCTAGTTCTAGTCAAGGTCATAGGCAGTTTTTGTGCATTTATTATAGCACAAAACTACTAAAGAAGGAAAACATTATTTTGCTTAGTGTAGCCATTTATAATATATCCCTACCACTAATACTTAAATTTTTTTATTATAAATAAAAAGAATAAAAGTTTAGCCTATTCAGTACATTTTAATTCATTAAATAACCATGATTTTATTTTTCTTTCTTTTTCACTTTAACTTTGAAGATGCCCTTAAGAATTTTTCCCTCGTCTAACCTATTACAGGCAATATGATTGAAGATAAGAGTTAAATATTGGGGGGGAAAAATTAACTGTGGAGCTATACCAGTGAATATAGTAAGGTTTTATGCTTTTAGAAGGAGTGCAATGATAACTAACCATTATTTTTCAACAATAGCAACTTACATTAAAAATGTGTAACATTTGTAGTAGGGTTTGGGGTTTAATAACACCTAATCTCTGTTTCTTTCTAGAGACAAAGATTGTGTTGCCAATCATATGAGAACAGTAGAAAATATGCTTCATAAGGTATTGCAATTTTTCTTAAATATTGTTCAACTTGTATTATGACATAGTTCTGCTAGTCATTTTTATTAAGCACAGACCACTTTAATTCATTTTGTACTTTCTTTAAAAATAAGTGAGCAAAAGGTCATTTCAAATGACTGAAAATTTGTTTTGTACAGTGCTACATTGCATAGCTTTTTCAAAATTTACGTCGAATATATGATAAAACTATAAAAATAGTGGTTTTACCAAACTGATATAATTGCACTTGAATTATTTGTGGTCTTTGCTGAATGGACCAGAGGTCATTAAGATTCTTACATGTCTCATAATCATAAAATGTTTGACCACACTGTCTAACCTCTTACCACTCTTAAGCCTACTACTATCGTATATATGTATATATAGACAGAGACATAATGTATTGTATTTGGCAATACTCATATATCTAAGCTAGGCAGTAATGTTTTCCAAGTTGTAATTTATGTTCTTACAGGAATGTTTTTTTAAAGTAGAAATTTTAATATATTTAATAATGTTATATTCTTAAATTTGATTACTTCTGCATGGTAAATTGACTTTTCATTTGCAATGATGAGCAGCATTATAAAGATACTATGTTATTACTAAAAACTTAATATATTAACTGGCTTTGTATTTTATTAGCACTTCAAATTTAAAGATGATGTATTCACTATTTCACTATTTTAAAAATAGAGGAATGTTATGTGTGTGTTTCTGTTATTGTCTAATTGACAATTTATTGAAAACATAAATACCTAGTACTTTTAAGATATATGGGATTTATGAATACCTAGTATTTTTAAGATATATGGGATTTATGATTTATTAAGATATATGGGATTTATTCATATTTAGAATAATAAATTTTAATCAAATTTATTATATAGTATAATTTAAGGAAATATTTAATAGATAGTAGCAATGATAGTAGCAATAGATAGTAGCAATAGATAGTAGCAACTACTATTTAATACATTTTAACATTTTGGAAACATTGGGCCTCCATATTCTTTTATATCTTGATAATGACTAGCATTATTTTATATCTCTAAAGCATTTGGAAAAAACATCTAATATTCTGAAAGCTATTTTTTAAAATAATAGTTGTTTGAAATTATGATTTTTCCCTTCTCATCTCTCATTTTAAAAAGTTTACAGTCAGTATAATTTAAATATAGTCAAAGAAAACTCATGTGCTGGAAGTCTGAAATTTAGATTTGTAGGAAAAGAGACATTTTTGATTAGATATTTTTTTGTATTGTGGATAGGAAAAATCAATTATGTCATGTATATATGGCATACCTTTTTATACAGTTAATGTTACCTTTGACATACAATTGTTTGTTCTTCTTCACAGCTAGAAGAAAAATGTTGAATAGCAGCTATCTTAGGCAATGAATATTAACAGCAGAGAAAAAGTATCATCAATATAAAATACATATGTTATCCTTTCCTTATGAGGATAAAAAATATATTTTAAATATAACAATGACTGATTGCAATAGGAAAATTGTAATCATTCAGTTCTCTCATTATAGTTCATCTTTTTTTTTTTTTTTTTTTTTTGCATCATATGGAAAGAAAGAAAGATGCCTACAGCTTTGGACTGTAGCCATTGTAGATTTACTTTTGCTTTCTGTCTTTTCCCTTAAAACTTAATAATTATTTTGATTTATGTCTTTGGAATTTTCTATTTATATAGTGGTTTTTAAATTATCAATTATTTTTAAAGCTTGAAGTAAAATTTTAGGGAAGTTTAATCGATTACTGGGCTAATTCTTTTTTATACAAAGTTTGGGTGAGAATGAATGGATCACAAGGAAGTGGCCCAGAGGGTTTCTCTGAAGGTCTCAGGTTGGTGCAGAATGCCAACGCTCACAGTTTATTTTTCTGGCCATTTGGGACTGTCTAGGGGTAGCATTTTGCTGTCTCAGAGAAACTAAGAGTAGTACAGAAGGAGGAGTGTGAAAATGGTTGTGTTTATTTCCAAACGCTGTAGCACAGTTTACCTATTTAAATTTTCTGTTTCTTTTTTGAGTCAGTTTTGGTAGCTTGCATTTTTTTCCAGGAATTTGTCTATATCACCTAGCTTGACTAGATGAAATAGACATATTTCATCTGGAAAGTGAACATGCAATTGTTCATTTTCTTAGAATTGTTTTTATTTCAATAAGATCAGTTGTATGTAACTATTTTTAGGCCTGATTTTAGTAACTTATTAATATATTATTAATACATTTTTTTTGGTAAATCTAGTTGAGGTTTGTCAATTTTGTTGATCTTTCAAAGGAAACACATTTGGTTTTCTTGATTTGCTCTATTGGCTTTCTCTTCTCTATTTCCTTTGTCTCTGCTCCAATAATTTATGTTCTTTTTTTTGTTTGCCTTGGGTTTACTAATAGTTTACTTTTCTAAGATGGACCCTTAGGTTATTGGTTTGAGAAGTTCCTCTCCCCTCCCCTTTGCTCCCCTCTCTTACCCTCTCCTTCCCTCCCCTTTCTTCTCCTTCCCTTACATTTAGTAGCTAGACTCAGTTTAGATTATCCCAATTTTGTTAGCAATATCCAAAGAATCACATTCCTTCTTGGCTTCATCAGTGTTACAGAGCTTCTTCACAGTCTGTTTTATTTGATTCTTGTTGGCCTTGACACAAGTATATTTTGTTTTATATCTTCTTCATGGTTGGTTCAGTAGTCAAGGGGAACTTGATGATGGCATGGTGGTCAAACCCATGTATTTTGGGGTGGTCTTCCAAGGGTATTTGGGCTGTCTTTGGAGCTTCATTGTCTTGATCCGTTGAAGGTGGGTGACATGGGAATCTTCTCTTTTTGTGTGTGTGGCTGTGGGCTCATATCAGTATTGCTTTCTTTGCCTTTAAAGCCTCTGCGTTGGCTTTGGTTTTGGGGAAGGGCAGGGGCTTCCTTCTTTGCTTTCAGCACAATTTTCATGAAAAGCTTTTTTTTTTTTTTTTTTTTAATATAGGCATTTATGGCTATAAATTTCCACATGAGCACTATTTTCAGTGCATCTATAAGTTTTGCTATGCTGTTTTTCTCTATCTTAAAGTATTTTCTGAGCCAAAACCGGTTTGGCTCAGCGGTAGAGCGTCAGTCTGCGGACTGAAAGGTCCCAGGTTCGATTCCAGTCAAGGGCATGTACATTGGTTGCAGGCATATCCCCAGTAGGGGGTGTGCAAGAGGCAGCTGGTCGATGTTTCTCTCATCGACGTTTCTAGCTCTCTATCTCTTTCCTTTCCTCTCTATAAGAAAAATCAATAAAATATATTAAAAAAAGTATTTTCTGATTTCCCTGTGATTTCTTCTTTAATCTACTCATTGTTTTAATTTCTGAAATATTTGGGCATTTTTTACATGTCTTTTTAAAACTATTGAGTTCTGATGTAATTCTGTATGGTTTGAATAGATACTTTGATTTAAATTCTTTGAAATTATTAAAGTTTGTTATGTTGTCCAGAATGTGGTCTGTCTTGGTAAATGTTTCAGAGCATTTAAAGTGAGAATGTGTACTCTGCTGTTGTTGGGTAGAATATGCTCTACATATCTGTTATGTCTGGTTAACTTACAGTATTGTTCAAGTCTTCAAGTTCCTTGGCTATCTTTTGTGTAGTTGTATAATCTGTTAATGAAGTGAGATTTTGAAGTCTGACTATTATTGTTCAGCTATTTCTCCCTGACAAAAATTTTGTCAGTTTTTGCTTTATGTATTTTGTGATTCTGTGGTTAAAAGCATATATATATATATATATATATATATATATATATATATATATATAAATTGTTATATCTTCTTGGTGGATTGACCCTTTTATAATTTTATATATTTTCTTTGTCTTTTGTAAACCTTTTGTCTTAAAGTCTATTTTGTATGATACTGCTATAGCCACTGCATCTCTCTTTGGGTTATTATTTGCATGGAATATTTTTTTTTCTATCTCTTTATTTTTAACCTATCTGTGTCTAAGATAAGTTTCTTGTAGAGAGCATGCAGTTGAATCATGTTTTTGAATCTATTCTACCAATCTCCAACTTTTAATGGGAGAGTTTAATCAAGTGGTAACAAAAGACTTTTACCCTTTCTTATATATATCATCAACATATTTTATAATTAATGTCATTTTCTTTTAAATTATATAGGGTAAAAGAGGAGTTACACAACAAAAATACATTAATGCTGACATTTATTTCTTTACTTTAGTGATCTTTGTTTCCTCATGTAGGTTTGAGTTACTGTCTAATGTTCTTAATTTCAGGGTAAAGGACTTCCTTTAGTATTTCTTCTAAGGAAGGTCTGCTAGTAATGGTTACCCTTAGCCATTGTTTATCTTGGAGTGGCTTAATTTCTCCTTCATTTTTGAAGCATATTTTTGTTGGATATAGAATTCTTGGTTGACAGTCCCCCCCCCCCAGCAGTTGAATGTATTAAATTAAATGTATCAAATTTTCTATTTGTTTCCTTTCTATACTTTATAATTCTTCATATATATATATATTATATATTTTTAACATTATTCTTTTGGTTTCCTTTGTTTCTTTGTTCATGGTTTTCTTTAACTTTTTTAGAATACTTAAAATAAAATAATTGATTTAAAGTCTTTCTGTGGTAAATCTCATGTCTAAGCTTCCTCAGGGAAACTTGCTATTAAATTCCACTTTTCTTATGGGTGGGCCATACTTTATTTCTTTGCATACTTTATAATTTTTGGTTGAGAAATAGGTTTTTTTTTTTTTTGAGTATTATAATGTAGTGACTCTGGAAATCAGATTTTTCACCATCTCTAGTGTTTGTTGTTGCTGCATATTCTAGTAGTATTTGTTTTTTTTAGTGAATTAGCAATAATTTTTTAAAGTGTATTCTTCATCATGTGTGGTTAATTGAAATCTCTGTTTTGTTAGCTTATTTAATGATCAGGCAGTGTATGGTTTTGTTTTGTTTTTTTAAAATATATTTTATTGATTTTTCACAGAGAGGAAAGGAGA